GAAATTGACTGAGTAAATGCAGCAGCTATTATCGTATTATTATCCTCATCATCACCATCATCAACCCATTTGGTGATCTCGGCAGCAGACGAGGCTATAAAAATGAGTTCTTGGGTACTTCCAAAGATAATTGCCTCCTTTTGGAAGGAATCCAGAACAAACCCACATTAAGCTAAATTCTGCATTAGAGTGGGCTGTTACACAGTTGGGAGGATTTATTCCAAGCACCTAGAAGACTCATGGAAGATGAATAGATAGAATTTGTCAGATTTTCCTTTACCTTTAAACATAACCCAATGCAATGAAGAGGACAATGTCATTTTGTCCATACACAAAGGCATTTTTAAACATTACAATGAGCTCATCTAGTTGTCAGTCCCTGGGAAATTACGTACTGAGTCAAAGACAGGCATGTACACCTCATATAAAATATGGTCTACATTGCTAATGAGTGACAAAAATTAACAGGATTTTAGTGTAAAGTTATGAGTCTACGCTAAAGCAATTGAAAACGAAAATGCAGAGTTTACTCAAGTTTAATTCTATAAAGCTCTTTATCAAAAGTATTAACTTGTTATATTTCCCCTACCTATTTAATTATTAAAAATAAATGTAAAGATATAGTATTTTGGATATAAATTAATAATGAAGGTACATTTTTCTAAACATTTTTTCAATGACTTATGATCATATATGTATAATCATTTTAAAACATTCTTATAAAAGATGAGATTTAATGATTTCACAGAACATCATAATACATTAAGCACATTACAGAAAAATAAATACAATATTAATATAAATACATTCTCACTATTTTTTCAAAAACCTAGATGAATATTCCAGTGTTTTAATAAGAATTCCTAATATGCTTCAAATGACTTTTAACTTTTATTTTCTTAACTGTTATCAATAATCAATTATTTATTTATTTATTCATTCATTCATTTATTTTGTAATCTATACCCCCAACATGGGGCTTGAACTCACCACCCTGAGATCAAGAGCCACGTGCTCTTCCAATTGAGCCAGCCAGGGCCCCTATTGTTATCAATACTCAGACATGTAAAGTATGCTGTGTTTTTTCTTTTAATCCAATTTTTAGAAATGACTGTTAAGAATGCACGTTGTTCATTAATAAATTTAGAAAAATTCACAAAAATTGGAAGAATTAAAAATGCTAGTTGTACCTGGAGATTTAATGTTCAGATCGATGTTTGGAAGACTTGATAAGTAAAGCCAGACACTAGGAGAGCATTTCCTAACAAGACTACTAATGGAAAATCACCTGAATATAACAACTGATGACTAGAGAGAATATACCAAAGCCATTTGAATGCTGAGTTTTCACATCTCAGTACTGTGCTGCCTCCTACGTGACAATCACATTCCTCCCATGCTTTGTAGGAATGAAATCGAAAGCAAGACCTCACCACCCCCAAGTACTTATCAGCAATTCTCCTTTCACTTCCTGATGTATTTTAGGGTATACCTTAGGTCAAAATCAGGGACCAAGAAGGATATCCTTTGAATGGACTTATTTCCACTCTTGTCGTTTCCTTTTCACTGGGCTCTCTGACTCAAACCTGGGTAATCAATAGAGGAGGAGAGACAACAGATTAAAGGGAACAGGACAGGGAAGAAGGCAGAAATTTTTATTACCCAAGAGACTCTATATTTTAAAATGGGTCATTTGTGTTTATATACTCCCAGTTAACTAGTCATCATTTCTCTAGTTATGATTATTTTATTTAGTGGAAATTGTTTCGATCACAATTGAAACCCAATTGAAAATTTTAGGCTCTTAGCAGTTGAGATAAAATCTGGAGTTCGAAAGACCCCAGTTTTGATCCCTTCATATAGTCCTTCACATATTCACTATAAAACTGGAAAAGTTCTTTAGTGCCTGTGAGCCTGTGAGCTAAGATCTGTAACTAAGGAAGACAATACTTCATGGGATTGTGAGAATTCAGATGCTTAGCTTGAGCTTTACCCTTAGAAGGTGGTTATTGTTATAATTCCTTCTACGGGATGCCACAAACTACAACTGAAGTCTGGGGTCCTGGTGGCAGTGCAGGAGACCTACAAGCCTCAGTCACCATTTGTTAACCAACCTCTGGTTACCTGTCCAAGAACTCCCTTCTCATTGAAAGCTGTCATTTTCCTCCAAAAGCTTTTCTCCTTCCTCACCACAATCTGTAAAGCTAGGGTAGACCTTTGACGTTCATCATTTGACGGAAGCTATTTACACAAAGGTATGAATAAGGTTTAGCAGAACTGTGGGACTGTTGCCTTTTTCAATGTCCAAATAATCTATAACAAAGATGTTAGGGGAGTTTTTCTTCCTGTGTAAGAGAAGATCTGCTACTGAAAATAAATTAACACAGAACCTAAATGTAATGATGAAGTATTTACCAGGATAATTTTAACTCCTCCATACTTTTTGTATGGAAGAGTTCTTTACAGAGGCAAAGGTTAACCAAATGGAGAGCTGTCAAAAGAATCATAACCTATAAATACCATATTGTTGTTGTTGTTGTTTAATTTTCGCTAAAGTTGCTCTTTATTCTCACAGGAAAAACTTCAGTTCCACAAGGACAAGGATTTTGTCTGTTTTTCTTCGTGGATCTATCTGAAGCACCTAGAACAGTGGTCTGGTGCATAGTGTATGCTCAGTAAACATTTGTTGAAAGATCAGGAAAAATACATCATTAAACTCCTGCCCTCCTTTAGAAATTTGCAAAAAGAAATAAAAAAGTAAATAAAAGCAAACACACTTTATTTGAAAGTCACACAAAAAAGATGTCCCAAGTATTGTGTTTATAAGTGCAGCCTCTGATAATCAGTCCTGCGTTTGAATTTGGACTGTAGGACCCTAAGTAAATCACTTAATTTCTCTGTTTTGCCTCAATTTCCTCCTTCTGTAATATGGGTATGCTGCTACCTCATAGTATTGTTATTATGATTAAATAAGGTACTGAATGAGTAAAAAGACTACAAAATTTCCTGACATAAAGTAAGCACCAATGAACGTTGGGCGTTTTTATTGAAACATGAAATGTTGCTGAGGGCCGCACTGAGGCCCACGAAGTAAATGGCAGCTGGAGGCCCCACAGCCATTCAGCAAAGCCAGAACCAAACAGCCACGTTTCCAGTCAATCTATGAAAAAGTTTTGCCCACTGTACTAAGCTCCCTGCTCATCTCTTTATATATACTTTCTAAAACTACTTACACGGGAAAAAAAGATGTGTGCTTCACACTCTCTTGCAAAGACTTTTGGAAAAATGCAGGATTCCCAGATGCTTGCTGGAAATACTGAGAAAACCTTGAACCATGCCACATACAGCAGTTACTGTAACTACCCTAATCCTGAGTTTAGCAGACTTATGGAAAATTTTGTTCTTGAGCGTTTGTGAGCACACAGGCTCAGGGAAACGGGAATCCAAACAGCAATCCTTGAGGTGTCTTCAGGATGAATATAATATTCAGAGTCACGGAGTGCTTCTCTTCCTCCTCCGGTCTCACCTCCCTCGGCTCGCAGCATTCCCCACAGCTGGTGCTCGAAACTACGAATGGCTCGCTAGCGCGGGCGGGGGCGGCCGAGGGGCCGGAGCCGGAGGCGGTGGAAATGAGGCGAGGCTAGGCATCAAGAGCCAGCGCCAGCGCCGAGCTCAGCCTCGAACACAGTCTTCCTCCTGGATCCGTCAAGTCAGAGCTCACGTGTACACCAGGAGGATCTAACCAAGGCAACCTGACCAGCCGCGGTCTCCGAGCGCTGCGCAGATGTGCCCGGAGCGGAAGGTGAGTCATCCTGCCCTCCTCCCCACCCCCGCCCCGTGTCCAACAGGTTGGCTGGGGCGCGACTCCAAGGGGCCCGGAGGGCACACCTCTAGTCTCACCTGGGCACGGCGCTCGGCTGCTCCCTTTACCGAGTCGTCGTTACTATTTAAACTCCTGCCCCAGCCCACGCCGGTTCTATTCCTTGTCTTTTTGCCTTCCCTTCTCCTAAAATGAGAGCTCCGCTGTATGCCGGAGAACGAGCCTAGAACGCCTGCTTTCCGGGAAACTTGTACCGGCAGAAATGGCTAAACCGAAGGGCACAAAGTGCCTCGATACGCGACGGGAACTGGCAATGGTGACCCCTTGTTCTTAGTGACTCACTGGGACTTCAGTTAAAAGTCATCACCAGTTATCCTTATTTCTCAACCAGGAGGTCAAAACCAGAGGGAGGGAGGAGGAAATAGAGCGTGAGTGACAATTAGACTTGAATGAGAATGAACGCGAGCAGATGATGCGGCCCCCTCGCCCTGGGCACCCTCCGCCACGTGCTCACGCCCCCAGCGACCACTCCCGGGGAGGCCTCTGAAGCCGCCGCAGGAAAAGAAGACGGAGGAAGACAGAGCCTCAAGTTGGAAAGAACTCAGACCCGGCCACCACTTCCCCTGCTTTCTGAACTTTCCCTCTCGGTCTCCTGGCCTGGAGTGAGTCTTACCATCCCCCTTGCCTCCGTCCGTTCCCACCAAGAGTCATCTTGTCCTCCTCCCCCACTCTAGACCTCCCACCTCTGCCTCCCCGCCCGCTCCAGCCCTAGGTAGCGAAGCATTCAATCCGTACACCTCCCGGGCTGGGAATCTCCAGCACGAACTCGGTAGCGGGGGGGCGTGAGTCCGGGAAGGGCCTCGGTGCCCAGCAGTGTACCCCGCCTAGACCGCGTCGGAGCTTTTACCCCCGGCGCGACCCCCGCCCCGCCTCGCCTCGCCTCAGCCTGGGCGCCCCGGCGCTGGTGCGCTGTAATCGCGCGCTCGCCGCGCCCTAGCGGCCACTGGCGGAACGCGCACAGGGGGTGGAGAGTGGAGGGGTGCGCGGGCGGGAGGCACCCCCTACCTCGGGAGTCAGGGAAATCCCGGCCGCCACCAGGGGCCGTGCCACCACCCTCGCCGGACCGAGGCTTCCGGCGCGCCCCCCAACTTTGTGGCGCCCTCACACAGCGGCGGCGGGGATGGAGCTGCCTCCCCGAAGGCGGGCGCCGCTGGACTCGCCGCTGGACAGCTGCTCCCTGACCTCGCTGGACTCCAGCGTTTTCTGCAGCGAGGGTGAAGGGGAGCCCCTGGCGCTCGGGGACTGCTTCACGGTCAACGTGGGCGGCAGCCGCTTCGTGCTCTCGCAGCAGGCGCTGTCCTGCTTCCCGCACACGCGCCTTGGCAAGCTGGCGGTGGTGGTGGCCTCGTGCCGCCGCCCCGGGGCCCTGGCCGCCGTGCCCAGCCCCCTGGAGTTCTGCGATGATGCCAACCCCGTGGACAACGAGTACTTCTTCGACCGCAGCTCGCAAGCGTTCCGCTACGTCTTGCACTACTACCGCACCGGCCGTCTGCACGTCATGGAGCAGCTGTGCGCGCTCTCCTTCCTTCAGGAGATCCAGTACTGGGGCATCGACGAGCTCAGCATCGACTCCTGCTGCAGGGACAGGTACCCGCGAAGCGCGCGGTGGCTGGGCGGGGAGGCGGGCGCAGTGGAGAGAGGGCAGCAGAGGTGAGATAGGAGCTTCACGCAAACCTCGCTGAATCCAGGCCTCAGAATACCTGAGGCCACTTCCGAGCTGTTAAGGTGGGGTGGCGGGGAGGTCCGGAAAGTGTCAGAGCCAGCTTTGGATTGGAACTTTTTGGACCTCTTCCCTTTTTGAACGAATGTGTGCCAATTCGTTTTTAAGGCAAAGGAGATCTGGCCTGAAATAAATATTTGATGATTGAATAAATGAGTCGGAAAAGCTATAATCCAAAAATGCACGGATAGAGATGGAGGTTTCAGTAGGGAGCATTACCATTTATCAGACCTAGAACACTAACTTTATTTTATTTTTATTTTTTATGCTTTTTTTTGGCATTTTTTATGTTCAATTAGCCAACATATAGTACATCATTAGTTTTTGAAGAACACTAACTTTAAACTTGGATGGAGAACTGCTTTAAGTACAGGAGATGGAAAATTGGTTCCTTGACTGTGAATGTTTGTGGGACTTTGATGATGACTTTGCTATTATCTTGCTATTAGTACTATTTCTTCATGAGGACATTTCCATTGCACATACACAAAAGTTCCATATGGCAAACTTCTGTTCTTGTTACAAGAAAAATGGGTAATAAAATGCATTAAAGTGGATTTGCTTTGTATAAATCCCTTTGTGTAAATTTCTACCAAGAAAGGTTCATTTTAAAAATACTAATCCTAAACAGAAATTCTGAGTACTGTGGGCAGGAGACAGCCTGGGTAAAATATGAATGGACATTTTCTGCATTTTTACCAAAATAAAAAGCATGACCTCACTGCTAAGTTTAATTTTCTTTTGACGTCTGTATTTTTTTTTTAAAGTTAGACTAATCACCAAGTTGTTTTCTCTAAAAGATACTTCAGAAGAAAGGAGCTGAGTGAAACGTTAGACTTTAAGAAGGACACAGAAGACCAGGAGAGTCAACATGAGAGTGAACAGGACTTCTCCCAAGGACCTTGTCCCACTGTCCGTCAGAAGCTCTGGAACATCCTGGAGAAACCTGGATCTTCCACAGCTGCTCGAATCTTTGGGGTCATCTCCATCATCTTTGTGGTGGTGTCCATCGTCAACATGGCCCTGATGTCAGCTGAATTAAGCTGGCTGGACCTGCAGCTGCTGGAAATCTTGGAGTATGTGTGTATTAGCTGGTTCACCGGGGAGTTTGTCCTGCGCTTCCTGTGTGTGCGGGACAGGTGCCGCTTCCTGAGAAAGGTGCCAAACATCATCGACCTCCTTGCCATCTTGCCCTTCTACATCACTCTTCTGGTAGAGAGCCTGAGTGGGAGCCAGACGACACAGGAGCTGGAAAATGTGGGGCGCATTGTGCAGGTTTTGAGGCTGCTCAGGGCTCTACGCATGCTAAAGCTGGGCAGACACTCCACAGGTATTCAAATTTCAGTGATTTTTTTTTTAATTTGCCATTGTTCGTAAACATTAGTGCTTGACTACAGTCCAAGAGAAGTGACCGTGAATTGACACTCAGAATTACCAACTCCCAATCCTATACCCAACCAGGGTCTCCAAAAAGGGATTGGGGAGCAAAACCCTGAAGTTGCTATCACAGGTAGAGAGGAGAAGATGCCTCTCACACTCCTTCTCTCCATAAGACATGTGAAAAACAGTTTGACCTCTTGTTGCCCTCAATTTATTTTAACCCAGTGCTCAGAAGTTGTACAAAAATTAAAGACACTCTGCCTCTAGAAGGTTCTAGATAAAATATGCATAAACAGCACATAAAAAATATGCACAAATTATTCATGATCTATAGGGACATAAGCCAGTTTCTCTTCTGTGTCCAAGGAAGGGCTTACCACACACGTTCCTGGGCAAAAAAGATAGTCAGCCTTGCAGGGCTTTCTTTAGCCATGCAGAAACTGGGATGACCAGGCACTGGTGGCCATCCCATGATTTTTGAAGAAACAATGGAAATATTTGCTTTGTAAGAAAGTTGAAAACACTGGTTAAATGCTTTATCTAGTATCTGAGAATCTTCTTGTCCCTAAACCGGGATGCATGAGAGATATGGTAATAAGAATTCCTTAAAATCTAATGAAAATCTGACGAACACTCGCCCTAGAAAAATCTCCACACAACACTCAATTGTGCATGAAAGTTATAGTCAATGTCAGGGGAAGTCACACAAATCCATTAAAGATGATTCTTGTGTTCCTGAGGGCAGCGATTCTCAGTGGCTGGTCCTGTGGCTGTTGGATGTTCTGGAGTTACCTTATGTTAGGTTTTGATGAAAAGCTTGTTGAAAGGCAAATTCTGAACCTCAATCTGTGAACAGACAGATTTTAGTATTTGGGGGTGGATTGAGGAGCATGCATTTTAACAAGCCCACAAGGGATTTTGTGTGGACTATACTTTAAGACACACTGGAGTAGAATGCCATGTTAATATGGCACATATAAATGCAATACACAAGAATACAAATAATTTAGCTAGAAAGTCCTACTACCACCTTATTTCCCCAGATATGTGCTAACTGGTTACCTAAAAGAAGTTGATGGTTGTTGTCTCTCCCTATTAAAACAGGGAGAAATTAACTTCAAATATGTTTTTTCCCCACATGTCTGAGGTAATTAGGACTTCTCCTAACATAATTTGGTAGTGTATTTCCTAGCTACTCTCACGTAGCAGGGATTTGATAATGGGGTTTCCAACAACTTTTAGAAGTACCACTCTTTGTTTTCTGACACACATAATAGGATGCTTTCTTCTAGTATTTATAAACTCCTCACAAGATTCGATTTAAAAACACCCAGTAAAGACTACATTTTTTCCCAAAAGAAAAGAAAAAGAAAATAATAGTAATTTCCACCATGTCACCTCTTCACGGGTTTTTTTTTTTTTCAGTTCCAAAGCAGTACAAAGTATTAATAAAGCCTTAATTTATTGAAAGGATATGAACGCTTACGTAAATATTGGACAATTTTATCTTAAGCATTACATTTAGCAATATATAGACATAGATGACATAGTTCCCTATGTATTAACTGTAAACATAAGATGAGAGGTATTCTAGAACAACAGGAGGGCAATGGTGGGCCAGAGAGCCAAAGTTTAAGTCCTGGCTCTGCAGCTCTGTACTAGATATGCCACTTCCCTGTGCCTCAGTCTCCTCATCTGTAAAATGGCACAATAATTACATCAATTTCATATTGTTTTTTAAGGATTATCTGAGTTAATAGATGTAGCATGCAGAAATTTAGACCACTTTGTGTTTCTTTACAAAATTATTTAGAATATTTCATCTTGAAATGAAAACAGTCTTCTAAACACTGTGCTTTTCTGCATATGCTGTCAATATATTTCAGAAATACAATTCAATGCAGACACATCAAGGTCAGCTTTCTAAAAGATATTCTAAAGACATTGTAAAAAGAATCTCCTTTTGAAGTTAAGTGTCAAAATTAATATTCCTTAATCTTTAAAAAATAGCTGGTAAATAATTTAAGAATATCTTGAAGTTTTAAGAACCAAACTTAAAAATAATGAGAGCACAAATGGCATTTTAATGAAATTTCAAATAGTCTCTAGTGAATAAAAATTAAAATGATTCTAGGAGGCATTGCTTTGACCTTCAGAGACAGCATCATTATGACTTCAGGCTGATATGTCTTCAAAATGTAGATACACCTTCAGCAGTGTTTGTGAACTCTGGTGTCAGGGAAGATAGCTTATTCAAAATTGCAGTCCCATTATGGGCTCATCTGACTCTCCTTAGGGTTGAGTCTCTGGAGATAGGATTAGGCTCTCTTGAGTCTGTCTCCCAGGGGTTCAGTGAATCCTCAGAAGAGCAGTAGGGAATGCACCAATGCCTCTAGTGAGTAAATTTCCCAGTAGCTTCAGTCCCCCATACCTTTTTGCAGTGAAGGAATAATCTGTATTCAGGTCTATCTCCTTACAGGAAAGCAGAAATTCTATGTACTCAAGGGAAATGTTTCCCTATAGCTTTGGTACTATGGGTGTGAATTTGAGTGGGTATCACGGGAGTTCAGGAATCCCTCCTGATAAACCTTTAAGAATGCCCCGTGAATGTACGTAGGATGTTCTCGTGTCAGTGCGGTCACTGATGCTTAACTCACTCCTGCTCCTTCACTTCGTTCTCATGGTGGACATCCTTTACTGCTTCTGGCTTTCAGATAACAATGCCCTGACAGTGTTTACCTTGGTTAGGAGGGTGAGTAAAGCAGACACATAAAATGTTAGAAAAGTGTGCCGAAGTGACACATGGAAATGCAGGTCTGGCTAAGTGAGCCCTCCACTTGCCATGATGCACAGGTCTCCAATTTTATGGACTAAAGTATAATTCCTGTCGTACATCCCCTTCCTGCCTTGTAGTCTCATCTGTCACTTTTTTTTTTAATAATTAGTAGGTGTTTAGTAAACATATAAGTGCATGAATGAATCTAACTAGATTTCTTTCTATCCTTTACAATCTGGCCCCACCAACTAGACTATGAGCTCCCTGAAGAAAAAGATTATGATTTATCATCTCAGTATCCCCAGAACACTGCCCGATGCTGGAGACATGTCAGATGTGAAATGCATGTTTGTGGGCAGAGAGCTGGGCAGGAGAGGGGAAGAGAGGGAAGTGGAAGGTGGCGAGGGACCAAGGGGTGCCAGTGACTGACGACAGTTGTTCTATTCCAGGATTACGCTCACTCGGGATGACAATCACCCAGTGTTACGAAGAAGTCGGCCTACTGCTCCTATTTCTGTCTGTGGGAATTTCTATATTTTCCACGGTGGAATATTTTGCTGAGCAAAGCATTCCTGACACAACCTTCACAAGTGTCCCTTGTGCATGGTGGTGGGCCACAACATCCATGACTACTGTGGGCTACGGGGACATTAGACCAGACACCACCACAGGCAAAATTGTGGCCTTCATGTGTATATTATCAGGAATCCTTGTCTTGGCCTTGCCTATTGCTATTATTAACGACCGCTTCTCCGCTTGCTATTTCACCTTAAAGCTCAAGGAAGCAGCCGTTAGACAGCGGGAAGCTCTGAAGAAGCTCACCAAGAATATAGCCACTGATTCATATATCAGTGTTAACTTGAGGGATGTCTATGCCCGGAGTATCATGGAGATGCTTCGGTTAAAAGGCAGAGAAAGGGCAAGTACTAGGAGCAGTGGGGGAGATGATTTCTGGTTTTGAATTCACTTTCAATTTATGTACAAAAGCTTGTGTACAACTAACTCAACTGATAAAACCTTGAAATGGATGTCTGTATACTGTTGAAGAGTCTCTTTTGAGTACTACCCGTGTTAGTTTTTACTGATATATTGCTTGGTCTGCTAGAATAGTTCACATCCCCCAAACCAAGTGCACACTGAGTCTCAAAACTAGTCATTTAACACAACCCAATACAAGTAGGCCAAATATCTGAATTGTCAAATATAAAATAATAGTGCAATAAATACAACAAAGTTTCAAGTTTTACGTATCACTAATTTTAGAAGTTCTTTGCACCACTAACCTAAGAGAATGGGAGTTAAACTGCATAGCCCAGAGCAAAGATAAGTGAATCTTTAGAAACATACTGAACAACTTTGCTATTTAAAAACATTCTCCAAGTAAAGAAATCACTCTTTTTTCCATCAGTTAAAGCTGTTAAATACAACAATTCGCTTTGCAAATGAAAATCCTGATTTGATGGCCATAGATGGTGACCCTGTCTTCCCTCTGGCACAAACCACCGGTCACAGAGGGACTAAGTTCTGATTCCCATCATTACTATACGAGGTGGAAATCCCCAGACTGCTTAGCTGACAGCAGAAGAGTGTTGCATAGAGGCTTCGAGAACTGTGCCTCCTCATCCTCCCCACCGAATGCAGTAATGTAGTCTAGAGTAGGTGTCTCCCGCACCCCTGGCAAATCAGATGGTCTTAAAAAATCTCTTTATTGATGCAGTGTTCAAATTATGTCTTTAAAATCACAAACATATAAAGGTGAAGTAGTGAACATCCTAAATATATACGATGAAATTATTAAATAGTCTTATTTCATAAAATGAGAATGATATGTTGAATGATATCACTGGTTGGAACTTGAAGATCTTTTATTTGTTAACAAAAAAATATTATGGATAGTTTTCCAACTGTTGGGGCAAATAGCAAATGTTCAAACGGTACACATTTAGACGGTCATCCGTGATAATGATAAAATTCATGGACATTCTGTTATATTGATTAAAACCAAAATTTCTAAACCTAAGAATTAGTTCATGATTCCCAATATTCTAGTTAAGGAGATTTTAAAAACTAAGAGTGATATGGAGTATCATTTTAATACCTGCATTTTCATTGTGTTTAATAGTGCCCCCAAGGGGATGAAATTGGTTCTTAGGGGGCAAAAATATCAGTCTTTTTATTCATAAAACAGATATACACATGTAATACATGAACAGATATAGAGTATATCCATGGTGTTAAAATTTCATGGGGTAGAAAAATTAGGGGGAAAAAATGCCTAAGAGGCTCTCTGCCAGGATTGGATGGTGATAAGAAATACACATTGAGAAATACTGCTTTAATATATGGCTATACCATTTAACTATGGGTTAAACAAGTCTATTTAAAACACCCTATTATATTATGAACCACAAAAAAAGGGGGGGCAGAAAAGGAGGCAGGAAGGAAAGAAGAGAGAAGCCAATCAATTATAAGAGGCCATTGATTATAAAATGCATCCAGATTTTGGATATGTAAAAATTTTAAATATGCATCTTAAATCAATAAAATATCATATATACTACCTCCGGTTTTCTGGTATGCATGCTTAAGCTCTGAAAACATTTTCAATGATGTCATGAGTTTTAGATTGTATGCTAAAATATTTTAATCCGCTTGGCTTGTTTCCAGTTCTCCCAAATATTATGAAAGATTTAGGAGATATATATGGTAATAAAATAAATATTTTCCCTCTTACACAATTCACAGGTGCTGGACATTTGCCCATAGGGTCACTAATTCTAGTATAAATCCCATCCATAGTCTGAAGGCAAAACGGAAGTTAGATACAGAAGCCAAACTTAACCGTGGCTTCTCTAGAACTTTCCTCATTAAGAATAGTTGCTCTGATCCAGATCTGTGCTCTATACTCACTGTGTATTATGTCATTAATTCCAAAATATCCCTACTAAACAATTATTATACTGTTTTTAAGTATTAGTTCATTACATTTATTCATTCAACAGATATTTATTTAGAACCTATCTGTGGGCTGGGCACTGGAGATTCTTAAACCAGACTAAGTCCTATTCTCTTGTACTTAAAATTCTGTGCGAGAGTTTGAGGGGAACACAGATGATAAGACTGAGGCATAAGAAGGTGAAATAACCTGCCTAAATTCACACACTCCATGTACAGGTGACAGAGCCAGGAAAGAATCCCAATCTCCTGGACCTCAAAAATGATACTCCTAAAAGTCATATTAGAGATTCATTATTCCCACACAACCTGTGGATAGGGATTCACTTCATAGCCAGGCAAGCCAATTTCTTGTGGATGGAGAGGTTTAATATGCCTTAAGAAAAATTTCAGCTTATTCTCAGAGATGGAATGGTGCTTATAAGGAACAGCTGTTGTCATGCTTTATAGTCATTATTAGACAAGAAAAATACTATCTTTAGAATAATTGATAGCTAAAAAAGAAAAAAAAAAGAAAAATTAAAAACTGTATTCCATATATTTTTTTTCTACCACCAAAGATTCTAAACATGTTCTTCACAAATGTGGTATGTTAACAGTATATATTTTGTCAAGATGTGGACATTTCAAAAGAAAATTTTAAATACCATTGCTTAGTCAACTTTGCTGTTAGAGAAAATAACAGTGTACTTATTCAGCAATGTACATATAAGCAAACCAAAGTTAATTTAAGTAACATATGAAATAACTGTTAATTTTATAGCCCATCATTTAAAAAGCATTTGATATTTTTCATAAATGTAAGAATTATTGCTACAAAACAATATTTAATTTGGAAATATAAATAATGGAATTATTGGTTTTCTTTAAGCTATTTAGAGAACACTAATTAAAAACATTGCGTGCACAGAGGTAATGTTTGAACACCCAAAAGAGCAATTTTAAGAAATCACTATGGTATCTCTAGTAGAAGTGGCATGATGTTCATGTTTTACTGTTTTTTTCCCTATATATACAAGGAATTGTTGCATTTATCATTTTAATGCAAATTAGTGTTATGATGTATTAGATGCACAAAGAATTAACTGAGGTAGAAATCTCAGTGCTGTGTTTCAATGTGGAATTCTTACTCTGATTAAATCTTTGACTAAGCTCTTGTAGAAAATATATATGCTGGCCCAAGTTATCTGAGCGAAAGATTATCATTGGGTAAGATTAATGCTTTGACAAACATTTCCGCTGAAACATTTTGTTAACATGAAAAGTCTGCTCTTTTGAAATATTAACCATTAATATCTCTGTCTTATCAATTTCAATTCAGGTCCAAGATATCCATTGGCAAATGACATGTTTTAGTGCTTTCCTTGGTGATTTTCTTTCACAAAGCACCACCGCTCCCAAACTTCTTTCCAAGCCATGCTGATACATGAAATAAAAATGTCACATAGGAGAGTTTTACTCATAAACCCCACTGGCAATTGCTTATGTGGTATGTCTTTAGGGCTAATGGGAAACATTTTCCCTTGCCTTCTATTAGAATCACTCCCTTGCTTATCCCCTCAACTCTGTTGCCCCTCTCTTCCTGGTTTGGAATCGGTAAGACCCAAATCCTAATTAAGTCCAATCTCATGCCTCCATGTGCCTGCCTCCGCAGAACTGATCACAAGGACAGAAAAAAAACCAACGTATGCAGACTGCTTTCATTTTGCATTCTTGCCTACAACCCCGAATGGGTTCTTAATGCTGCTAGGCAATCATACTGCAATTCCTGAATGTATTCATTCTCTCTAGATAAATATCCTTTTCATTGCGCTTTCACTCAGAAAATAGAATCAAATTTTCCACAAGGGCCGACACCCACATTTATCCACCTACATCCACCTGTGCCTATTCACTCTGCCTTTCCTCCTATTACATGGATTGAACTGTGCATCCTAGCCCCTCTCTCCAGCTCTAGGATACTGCTTCAGAAAGCCTACCCCTCTCCCTATTATACCATCACTTTTCCCTCTCACTACTGGATCATTTCTATCAACATATAAACGTGATTAATTTTTCCCATCTTAAAAACAAAAACTAAAGCAAACAAATGAATTTTTACAACTCCTAGAATCTATGTCACCCTCTAGGAAACACCTCACTCTCTGGTCTCCTTGGCAAAACTCCTTGACAGCACTTTTATACTCACTTCATTTCTATATTCACTATTTTTCCCTATTCTCCAAATCAGCCTCCCACCCCTACATATCCTAAAACTGTTCTTCTCAAGGTCAGCAATTACCCCATCATTGCTACATTCCATCATCAATTCTCAGAACTCGTGGTGCTTGATCCATCAGCAGCATTTTACAAGATTATCGACTTCCTTGAAGCACCGTCTTCACTTGACTTCCTGCCTGTTGCACTCTCTTGATTTCCCCCCGATTGCCCTGCTTACTCATCTTTTCTGGTTGAGGTGTTCAATCAGGACTTCATCCTAGACCTCTTCTCTCTATTTACATTGTTCACCCTGTTTCATGGCTTAAATATCACTGATAGTCAACTTCCAAATTTCTATCTCCAGACTAACCTGTCTCAATTCCTGCATCTTCAGATTTGTGTATTTTACTGCCTGTTCAATATCTACACCTGAATGTCTAATACGTAGCTCATGATTACCACATCCACCACCAAATTATTTATATTTGCTCCAAACTCTAGGTTAATTCAAGTTCTCTGAGAAGCAGATGCCAAGACGGGTGATTATTGTAATACTGATGACATCTAAGACATTTACTTGAAGGAAAAAAAAAAGCCTTTGAAGGATAAACAGGAGTCTAGAGAAGGTGGGAAGAACCTTCAGACCATATGCAAATCTGACACGGGTGAAGAAGGAGAGAGAAGGATTGGGTTAAAAAAAAACAACAACAGTCTCTGATAATAGCCTAGCTCTGAGAAAATGTCAACCGAGTTGATGGAGAGTCGTGAGCAAAAGTAGCCCATCTCTTTTAGAAAGGGCCCCGCACT